TTTTCCTGGTGCCGGGCGGCTCCGGGGCTGTGGAGTGCCCCGCGGTGTAGAAGACGCGGGCAGCACTGCTCCGGCCGTCAGAGGCCATTGAAAAGCTTGCAGAACTCTTTCATTATCTGTTTGGAGTCGTTATCCCTCGGTTTCCTCTGCACAAAGATTCTAAACAGCAAAAAGAGGAATTTCCACTCTGCCGGGCTCACTCTGCAGCTTTCACCGAGACAGAACATGTCTCTGGTGGCACTGGTACTGCCGGGCCTTGGTGCGTAGCAGCAGGGATATGGCCCTAAGAATCCAGCCAGGGTCTGTGCCATTGCTGTCACTCTGCCAATATCTCACAAACAATAACTCAGTTACCAGCTTTGGGGAAGGTGTAATGGGAAACCAAAACAAAGGGCAAGGAGGAAATCAGGTGGCAAAAGTTATACAAGGTTCATGGACCATCTCTGCCAAGTGTACGTGGTGTCTTACCAAGACTAATCTCCTGAAGAGATTGCTAGGTTTGCCAAGGAGATTTCTAAAAGGGAGGTTGTGATCCTGCTCAGCTTCTTATGTCCATATTTCCCTACCTGTAGAAATTACAAACCTCTCCTCTGCTAGTGGTATGCTTTCTCAGGGAGGGAGCTCTATTAAAAGAGAAAAATACATCCTTGTTTTTTTAAGTAGGAAAAAGAAATTCCATTTAAATAGAACAAGTGAAATAGTTTCTATGGAGAGTGTGGGTGAGGAACTGAGAGGAACCTGGAGCAGTCACCACTATTTTTCAGATGGTTCAGATGATTAATTAGAGAAGTTTTCAAATGTCATTACCTCAGGTTTTAACTTCTCCATAATTCACTGAATGTGTACAGTGATTCCAAGTTTTTATTCCTCACAACAGCAGTGCATGCAACCCACAGCATGCTTTTGCAACACTGCCTTTAATTTGAGGCCCAGTTTTGCTGCTGCATGGTTGCTCCCAGCTTGGTATTTCATCTATTTCAGTCGCCCTTCATGAGCAAACCTCTCTGAAGCCCTGCTTCCTTTTTATGCTTAGGGTCCCTGGTCCTTAACTTTCTTGATAATAATATTTTCAATGCAGCACACTGAAATTTGGTCTTAGAGGTGACCTAGTGAGGATTTTTGCAGACTTTAGTACAAGGAGTGCGGAGATAGTCTCCACTCCAACCCCATACTGTGCAGAGAACAACCCAGCAGAAGTCTGGCTGAGCGGTGGGAAGAAGGCTGGGAGAAGGGGCTTCCAAGCCAGGATAGAAACGAGCCCACTTGCTTCCTGGATGAAATTGGGACTTACTCATTTAAGTTAGATATTAGGAAGAAATTCTTTACTGTGAGGGTGGTGAGACACTGTAACAGCTTACCCAATGAGGTTGTGGATACCCTCTCCCTGGAAGCATTCAAGGCCTGGCTGGATGGGGCTCTGAGCAAACTGGTCTAGAAGGAGGTGGCCCTACCTATAGCAGGGGGGTTGGAACTAGATGATCTTAAAGGTCCCTTCCAACCCAAACCATTCTAAGATTCTATAGAAATATTTTGTCTCTGGTATTTTTACAGCCAGAAAATGGAAACTTTTAGATGACAGAGCAAAACATATTAATGTTTGCTTGTATGAACTCCTTCTTCACATAATAAGCTGTTGGGATAGAGATTCTATGCAGAAGCGCCATCTAAGTTTGCTACAGTTTAAAGGTGGCATAGTTGTGTCCACAGTGCTAGCAAGGAAAAAGAGCCTGGACTGATTGCTGATTGGAGTAAGCCCACCTGTTTAGGATTAGATTAGCTCCCAGAACAGCAGATTTTTCTGGTCAGCAGACTGTTGGAGTGGTTTAAAAGTGAATTAGCCAGGTAGCTAATGGTTAAGCAATGTGCAGGTATAGGTATTCCCTGCTCAAGGAAACTCCTTGGCCCTGCTGATGGACTAGACCTGATAAAGATAGGGGCTAAAGTGCGGCCACATTTTGTAGGACCAATGCATAGTTAAGGAAACCTTGGATTTTATAAAAATAACGGAGGTCTGAAATCAAGAGACCCACCATTGCCTTATTTAGAGCTGGCCAGCAGGTAGGTATGTGAAGCACCCTTTCTCCATTTACCTGATGTTATGTTTTTCTATGTGATCTATAATAAACCTGGGGCTTTCACATCACTTGGAGCCTGTTATTCTTTACCTGTGGTCAGGACAAGTGCCAGAAGAGCTTCATTTACAGCTGCTAACCAGCGTGCTTTAACAAACACTGCTTGGCCACCTGGGGAGTAAGGAACAAAGCCACAATTTATTCAGCCTCTGTATATGCCTAAAATCTCCAGTTTATAGTTTTCCACTGTGAACTACTCATAAAAATAATTCTTGCTTGACAAGTTTTAGGGATGAAGGAAATGCTAACATTTCTTTCCAGGTGAAAGAATGTTCTGGAACTATTATTTTGATGTATTCTTTCCAGTATTGTTCACAATTAATTGCCGTTGATTCTTGCATTAACAAAGACGTTCTTAGGAATCACTTTGGATTACAAATAAATGCATCTCTTCCTACTGCAAGCTTTATTGTTGCTTAACACAAGGGGTCAAATAACAATGAATAGCCAGTAGTAGTCACCTAGTATTTCCAATTTTCCAAATTTGTTAATTTTCTGCTACCAAGCTGAGTCCTAATTAATTAAGACTGGATGTTTGCTTAGCTCTAGACATACAAGAAGTCTTAGTGGCATTTCTGTAGGCTGGAAACAGAGGGCTCCGCATGGAGCTCATCAGCTTTGAAACACAATTGGCTCGTTATTCACTTTGTAACAAAGCCCCAACAAAGGCTTTAATAGTTAAATATCTCGACCTCAGAAAAACAAAAAGAATCAACAACAAAATAAAATCTTTTACTGAGCGCATAAGTTACTTTTTTTTTCAAATATGTTCTCTATAGATTACAACTATGTATGTTTGTTGTTAACCTGTCTGCATCATTTTCCAAGAACAATTGCTGCTACAGAGTTCGTTGAGAAGAGATCTGTTGTAGACCATAATCAAGTGAAAAGCTCCCACCAAGTGCTATACAATTTTTAAAATTAAAGATGAACTCTGGGAAAGGATATTTGCCAAAAATTGTTCTCTGCTGGGCAAGGCCTGCCTGTAGTTTCACCATCAACTGAAAGTCAGTCCTTGTCATACAAGGCTGTGCTGACTTCAGCAAGCCTGGAGGGGAACGATAAAAAAAAAACAAAACAACAGAACAGTGTTATTTAGATAACCTTCGTGCAGAAAACCATCCAGGGGGAGAACTATGACTTGCATGTCTCTAAGCTGCTGTCCTCAGGCATGCCTTGAGTTGGAGCACCTTGGATTTCTCCCTGCTAGCAGGTTCTGCTCTTAGCACTACTCAGGTAATGCATGGGAATTTACCAATTTTTCAGTATCACCCATCTTTCCTGGGTCATCCCTGTGCATTGATGAGTTAGCAATAAAGGCTATTTTTACTGAATTTTTCAGTATTCATTTCATTGAACAATTTCATTACCTTTCATCAACTAAGTGGCATCAACTTTGCAAATGGAACAGCAGAATGTCAAACACATAAGTGTCAAAATCTCAGTAAGAGACGTACTGAGAGCATGTTGTCCCAGGCCTTCATTTTCAGAGGTATTTCATGAAGTGAGCAGTGATTTTTCTTCCTTCCTCGTTGAGAGGCTATCGATGAGATGTGAACAAGGTTAGCTCCATGTTCTGTGCTGTTAGCTACGGAATGAAAACCAATTGTAACTACTAATTGATCATGAAAACCTAACAATGACAAGGGGTTAATTAATTACAAAGAAATTTCATACTTCTTCTGCTCCTTTTTTAATCATCATGTGTAACTTTATCACCTGATATGCTTCTTGTTTAAATAAAAATGGGCACAGATTTCCATTTTCTGAAGCCCTCAAATGAAGTGTTTAAGTAACGGCTTAACTTGGAGATAAAAAATGACAGTAGGGTATTCTTTATCTTCAGAAGCCATGCATGCATGTTTTCACGTAACTCCCCAACAGGTTCTTCAGGCATCGTGTTTCCTCCCAGCTGACCAGAGTTTCTTTAAACAGGAGTTAACACAATTTCTTTGATGTTTGCCAGATAGTATTATGAATTAAATATTGCTTTGTCCTATTTCCTCTGTCCTTCCCTCTCCAAAATTGGACAGAAAATAATAGGAGTAGCCTTATACATGAAACCTAAGGTTAGCTGCACAGAGAGCGCAGGCAACAGGAGAGCAGCTGGAAACAGTATGCATACCTCTGTACAATGTGCCATCATCTGCAAATTTCATATGAAAAAAATACCTATTGAAACATTCCAAGGAAAAATGTTATTATTTTCCTTTATATTATGGTCTGAGTCTTTGACCATAAAGGTCCCAAACTCATTTAGTTGGAACTCTCTGTGGCAGATCCTTTTAAACAGTACTCTGCACCTGGGGCTGGAAGGTCACTATGAAACTAGCCTATCTTGAAATACGGTAGAATGTTAGGGTAGGACTTCCCCAGCTTGAAAAGCTGCTATAGAAAAATGTACCCAGAATTGCACCAAAATTCCTTTCAGTTTTTCGTTCTCAGAAATCGTCCCTGAATAAGCAGTTCTGAGAAAACCTGTACTTTGTACATTTGCTTTGGACTTCAGGGTTTTGTATCCTGAGAGCTGGCAATGAAACACTGCCATTATCTGAACCCTGACATACTATGTTGTTATTTTTCTAATAAGTCCTGATTTGACATCATGATATTTTTAATAAATACACAGCTAAAACTGGCTTTGTGTTGCGTATGAATGCATTGTTTTCTTCACACTGGGGGAAAGTGCTGTGCTAAGCTAAAATTCTGTGCTCTGAGGGATGTGGGGTTTTTTAACACATTTTTGTAAAAGTCAACAGTTTTAAATCATGCTGGTGCTGGACTTCCTGGATTCAATTTTCTTTTTCAAAAACCCATGAAAACAATCGGTGACTGCTTAAGAGGTAAAGAAGGATACCCTGAAAAAAAGAAAAAAAAAAAAAAAAAGAAAGAAATTAAAAGGATGGGAAACAAAATGGTTTTGCAATATGCTGTTGGACACTGAGAGCTGTTTTTGTTTTATTTTTTTAAAGCTGGTTACATAGAATAGGCTTTGAAGTACATGATATTTAAAAACCCAGGCTTTTTTGTTTAAGGAATGGAACAGATAACGTGAACCACCTGACACAAGTATCATTCTGAATTTTTATGTTCCTTTTAGGCCTGTCCACTGATTGTTAGCATACCATGTATATATATACTGCTGTATGTGCATTTCGTACACTTCTATTGGCCTGCATTTGGATTTTTCTTAATATTTTGTATTCATTTGGGTCTCAATGCAATGACTGCTATGCTCAATAGGTTTTGAACTCATCTTTTTTGAAAACTTGAATATGCTTTAGTTGAGAGAATATTCAAGAAGTACAAGTACGCTGTTTCCAAATATGCTGTTTTCTGACCTCAGCAAAAGTGAGGCACCATCAGCACTATTGATTCTTACCACTGCTGGCTCTGTCTGTCAGGAGTGCTGAATGCCTGTGGCTTATTTCCATTTTCTCCTGCTGTGGTGCAAGAGTTCTGGAGAATGATGGAGTTGCTCTTTGTTCTCCAGCTGACTGTGCACATACACGAGATCCTTTAAAAAGCTGAGGATAGAACCCAAATTTCCTTCTGATTGCTAGTTGTCTTGAAGATACAGATAGAGAAGAAAGCTGCAGAGGGTTACAGGGCTAACATTAGGGATTTGAGCCCTCTTCTTCTGGGATTTGAGCTATCACGGTGGGAGCAGTGGCACCCATGATTGTGTGGCACACTGGCTGGCTATGTTCCCATGCACAGCACATGCAGTACTGTGGCATTTTTATGGTAAGATGACCAAAAGATTGAACCAGGCCCTATTGTCCATTACCCCTTAAATCACTCCGTGACTGCTATTTCCTTTAGAAATACTAGACAATGAAAGTGCTCCATAGAAAGAAATTCTAGAGCAATCTACCTCCCAGGATTCACATGCACATTAAATGCACATAGGCCAAGCACAAAGCAAATGCAAAGTAACAATTTCTAGGAGCTATTGTTCATCTGTGCTTTCTTTAGCAGGGAAAAGTATCTAGAATCTGTGACTATTTGTCTCTCTAAAGAAAGAGTTGTGAAGCCTCTTTCCAGTCCATGTAAGTTTCTCTCTCATGTCAACCCATGTTAGTTCTCCAATTCATAATCTAGCCCAGACAAACTCAAAAAGGAATAAAGAAAAAAGTAGTAGCTTTCGAGAATTTCATTATTGTGTAACTAGATGTACTCCTTTTATATAGTTTTTCCTATCTTGAAAAATGAACTTGGAATCCTGAGGTTCCTTTTTACCATACTTTGTATCTTAAAGTCACAGCCAATAAAAGCCATGCTATCCTAGTAAGGAGATAATACTGTACAACAGAAGAAAAAAGTAAAGCCTCTGGCAAGATGATCGTCTACAAAGCAGGCTTTGTAGTCTGCATACCTTGCATTGCTACTGAGGAATTATGCGACTGTGGGCTGGTCAGAAAATTTTAAGTATCTAAGAAATTGTTTATAAGTACTGACTCAAATCTGGATTTAAAAAAAAATAAAAAGCATTTCACTTTGGACAATTCATTAGGAGGAGTGCTGAACTTATATTTAACAGTTCCAAGACTCCTTACAGGAGTTGTAGAATCCTTTTGACAATCCGCTATTACTACCAAGTCTACGCAAGCATTTCATTCATTACCAGAGCTAAAAAAAAAAAATACCTTTGGGATGTAAGCATTTCATATCTTCGTTCACACTAGCTGATAGTTCTCTTCATTGAATTACCAAAAGCAGCCTTAGGGGTGGTTTTATTTCTCCTGTAAGGGCAACTGTCCAAAAATCTGCAAAAATTTCCAGGAAATCTGACTTTTGCACAGAGGTTAAAGAAAGCAGACAGAGAAAAATTCTGCAGCTTCCTTTCCAAAGTGCAGATTTTCTGAATCTGGGGGACAAGTAGTAAAATTTAAAACTTAATTCAGTAGGGAGCAAGAAATGCATTCTGTGAATTGAGAGTTCCCCTTTAAGTTTACAGAATAGCCTTGTCCAAAGTTTTCCAACTTGAGAGAGATGTAACAGATACAGCACTCAGTCATGTGTCTTGTTTGTGGTTAGCCACACAAAGCCTTTTTTTTTATTATTCTGAGCTCTACTCCTTTTTGTTGTTTGGAAAAAGGAAGACTGAACACAGCTGGTCTTGACACAAGCAATAGTCAGTGAAGATATAAAAAGCCCTATCTCATCCAACTAGCAGATGAACTTTAATTACCTCACAGCAATGTGATTACCTGTGAGATGTCCCTTTTTTTCCATTACATGACATCATTTGGTTTGTCTGCAGTGAAGGGTTTACCCTGTAGGGGCTCTTCATAGTGAACTTGCTGCCTTTTGCCAGTCATTGCTACATCAGTCCAAGATTTAAAATACTGCTGCTATAGACAATGATGTAGAAGAATTAAATTGAAAGGATACTCTTTTAAAGTTATCGTAACAAATGAAATAGGAAATGGGACTGGAATCTGACATTCAAAAGAACAAAAAACACACAAAAAAACTAAGCCTTGATCACAGTGCAGTGAAGCAGAAAACCTGCTAATATTTACCCCTTTTCCCCCCACAGTTTGAACCGATACTTGTGAGCAGTACAACTGCAAGCTCTCTGCCTGGCTGTCCCCCTTTCAAAACTAAAAGTATCACTTCTTTTTGCCCTTATCAAGGCATGTTGGGGACTTCAGGCTGAAGAAATGTATTTGCTCATTTCATTTCCAGATAGCAGGAGTTTTCCCCATAATATTGCTTTAGTTGTTGAATTGGTTGCATGTTGCTGTGCATGCCAGTCAAGCCCTTGTTACCAACACTGCCCCATGTTGGTGCTTCAGCTGCAACACTGACCAAAATCAAGGCTCTCCCTCATGCTAGTGTTTCTGGATTTCCAATCTGTTGAGCTGCTTTATCCAGCATGTGGAAGCCCAGCCATGGCCTCACCTTCAGGCCACCTCTGCCAGTGGTGACCCTGTGCCTGCAGTCCCCAGTGATCCCTGCTGAACAGCGGCTCTGACCTAGCTGGCAGCAACCGTTTGGGGCTTTTTTCAGGCTGCAGCTGCTTTGAAGCATCCTTGTACAAAAGCAGCTGTAATGGCAGGCTTATCCTCAAGGTCAGATGATTCATAGGATTGAACTCTCCAGACTCTCAGTCACGTGATCTGGGAGAGGATGATGAACAGGCAGAGAGGAACTTCAGCTGAAGGGCTGTTCCTCCGGGATCCAAAGCTGTTCCCTGTGTGTGATAGGAAGACGTGCTTCCTTCATTCAGAGGCCTGCTCCCTTAGCTTTCCTGGCAGCAGGCCTTCTTCAGGTATCTTCAATAACCAGCAGATTTAGTTTCAAAAATAACTGACCTTGCATATTTGCTGTCCTTACGAGTTGGCTTCTGCAACGTGAACACAAATAGGCAGTTCAGGGTAAGCTAAGAGCATCTATTATTTTCCCTCCCTTCTTAGCACAAGCTAGGTTTTGCAGTATCAGAGTAAGCTGATTGTTCTGTTCACTGGGAAAGCTGAACTAGCAGATTCTGCTGTGGGCTTTCAGTGAGCCATGCAAGTGAGGAGGGGAGATGCAGTTGTGTTTTAAAGCAGCAGTAGATTAATGGCTGTTTGATGACACTGTGCTGACACAGAGATGGCCTGAGCCAGGGCAGTGCCGGGGCCTGGCAGCATTCTACTGCTGCTGCACTTTGCTCCCTAAGGCTTGTCCTCAGCTGGCTGTGGCAGCAGTGCATCGGGAAGTGCCCTGATGTATTAGGGGCAGAAGGTCATCTAAAAATAAAAGTAGAAAGTGGTGCGTCTTTTCTGCACGTTGATTCCACCTTTGTGTTCCTGTACCACAATTTGGACACTCTTAATACAAATCTTCCATAGAAAGTTTCTTCAACGAAGAAATGATGTGTGCTCATATCCTAATTGGTTTCCTGTTCAGCTAACTGCAATCTACCTACCAGAAATTCCTCTAGATAATGCTAATTAATAAAGACTTTTTCCTTATTTTCCTCTTTGCTATTTGTATTTGGGAAGCCGTACTGCTTGTTTGTCATCACTTCCTTTCTTTCACCAGGCAGATGGCTGTTCTTTGCAGTTGTACAAAACTAATTCTTCTCAAAGGAGAGCAATCTTTGAGTTTTTCAAATGTAGAAATTCAGATTTTTTTTTTCATTGGTTTTGTATATACTGGCTCTGAATTTCAGCAGATATTCACTTTGTTTTGGGGATTCTGATATAGGGAGCTTCTATTTCACCACATACATCAGCTCCCCATTTACCCAACACCTCATCTGTTGAAGAAAACATTCCTTGCTTTTATATGTCAGTCCTTGATTGCTTGATTGCTGTTCTCTGTACTGCTCCCAGCTTTCTAAGGTACTGCCTGGAACAACGTAAGTCTAGTCAATAGGCAGATAAAGCCATCCTTGAGTTATCTAGAGTTACAACAGTCACTGCTTACTCACCATTGTATTCCTCATGTATTCCATCTTCTTGTATCTTAAATTCATCTTCTCTATCTCTGGCTACTTGGGCCAGTTCTTGTTTGGCTGAAGTCTGAGTCAGGGCAAAATCTTAGCAGAAAAGAAGGAACCAGATTTCCTATAGTGCAGTAGAGAGGAAATAAGTAAGATTTGTGTAGCCTGTAATTTGTAGCTTCAGAGAACTTAAGTGCGTGTTTATTCTACTGTTCTGCTAGGGCAATTAAATTGGAAATCGGTGTATATAAACATGCAGTAACCCCTTAGACTAGGTGGAGAAGTTGGATTCAGCGCGTGAAAGAGTTCAGACCTGCAGTCCAACTGATACAGACAAGAAGGAAGCATGGAAATGATTTTGGGTTTCTCAAGACTAAGTCTTAAGACTAAGACTTGGGACGGTGTAAGTCCTATGTTTGGCACACTGCTTTGGGTACCTGCATTGAAGGCTGAATGATCTGCAGTCATTCTGAACGTGCAGTGTGAGGCCCAAATCACTCAGATGTGACTGCAGTTATGTAGGCTTTAGGATTTTGACAATGGGACCCTGAGTTTTTAAATGAAAGAACTGTTGGTTTGGTTTTTTTTTTTTTTTTTGAATGAACAATATCTTAATTTCTTTTACATCTGCTTTCTGTGAAATGTACACACTCAGATTCTCTAATTAAAAAAAAAAAAGTCAGCATCTTATAACTTACTGAAGAGGAAACATTCTCTTCTGAGGAAAATTCTATCCTCTTGTCTTCAATTATTCAGAGCTTTTGCAAATATCTAATTCATAGGAATTTTGGAAATCATTCTTTCTGTTCTGTTGGAAGGTCTGGAATTTCACTGTTTTTTTTCCTGCTTTCATCTCCTTCCTATTTTGAAATATCAAACTGCTATATTCCACTTGGACTTTTGCTTTCATTAGCAGATTGAACAGGTGAGCTACAAAATGTCATAAGCTAAAAAGATTTAAAAAAAAAAATCATCAAAAGAACTGGTTGCTATGCTTCCATACTAATTCCAAATTGCTGTTTGAATTGCTTAACAAACTGAATGTTTGTTTATATTGCATATCCATGGAATGCAGTTCCATAGATAACAGTATACTTGCCAAAGCCTATCAAAAAGGCTAGAAAATTATTTTGTAAAATGTTCTCCTTTGCAGTAATTTCCAAGGAATACTTTTCTAAAAAGACAGGAATACATTTGTGTTAAATCACAAAGGAATGCTAATAATCCCCACATTTTGATTTCAAAGCTTGGATAAACTAACACATGAAATTCCTTAAAATAGCCTTTCAGTCTTTTTTTTTTTTTTTTGTGAACCAAGCATTGAGACTTGCATAATTGAGCAGAGAAGAGCTGAAAAGCTGATGCATAATTTGTTTTAACTAAGATGGGTTTCTTAAATTTGCAGAGCTGGTTGTTAGAAGATTTTTTTCTTTTGGGGGAAGCTTAAAACTAAGTACTGACACTAAACTCCACTAAACAAACAGTAATATCTCTGACGTTGACATGGAAATTTGGTAAGAAAACTTCTCTGCTTGTAAGATTTTGGGGACTTCTTGGCTTCAAATCCATTATAAGCCAAGAGGTCACATCTTAGGTTAAATCTTTGAATGTGGGAGAACTGCTTCTGGATTTACATTTTCAGAAGCTGCTTTACTGACAGAAACAGAGATGAAAACTTAATATACATTTACTTTGCCATAGGGGAGAGGACTATAATGGAGCAAGAAAGGAAAACACAGTGTGCTGTCTACAAAAATAAACAAGGAAATAATATTGACTAGAAAAATGAAAAGGATGTTGTATTTCAGTAACAAGCAGGCAATGTGTATTTTGGGTAACAAGAGGATACGTTGCAGCCTAATGGGAAAGGAAGAAAATATTGATTCTTTGCTATAAAATTTGGTATTTTTGTCTTCATTAAACAATGTGCTTTTAGTCCCGTAGTGTAGTGTTTCCTTTCACATATATTCCAAAGCAGGACAGGATGGGGGATGAGACTGCAGAAAATAGGGAGAAAAGCTGCATAAGTCAATTATAAACTGAAGGAAAAGAGAGAAGCAGCTAATTATAGTCTGAGGAAACCAGTTGGAATAGTCTTGGTCCTTTGGGAGTGACTGAGAAGCAAGGTAACTGTCAGGATGCATTTAAAGCAGAGCGGTCCCAGCAGACAAAGAGCATGTGTCTGGATGAGAAAAGGAGGTCACATCTAAAAGCAACCAGGCTAGGGAAGAGACAAAGACTGATCCTAATCTCAGAGATATGTTAAACCTGTTTTAAGCCAGCATGTATGATTAATTTGTTTGGGGTGGGGGTGTTAAGAACAGATTCGCTCACATCTTTTTAAACATTATCTGTCTTCCTAAACTGGGCAGAGAAAAAAAATGCCTTTTGTTGCTGTTTTGAGATTGGTGTTTTCTTTTCCTGTTTGTTGCTGTTGTTGCTTGTTTTTTTCTTTTCTTTCAGGGGGAAACTAACAAATAAAAACAAATACTCTATCAGGCAAACGAGAAATTGATTGAAATCCATTCTGAATGCATCCACCTCTTTGATAACATATTCCAAGGAAAAAAAATTAATGAGTTTTAAAAATGTGGAAGCAAATTTTCATCTAAGGGACAAGCTCTGCAGGAGGGTAGATGAGAAAGAAGTCACTTGGCCTTGACACAGTATTTTTCACATCTGAGAGGAAGTCTCTTGTTTTGGGCTTTGGAGAGTGTTCTCCTGAGGCTACAGGACATCGCAACACAACACAAGGAATCTAACAACCTCATGCTGTCAGTCCACTACCCTTCCACAGTGGCTGATAGGTGTTTTAGCTGACTCCACTCAGCTAGGAGGTTAGAGAACAGTTTCCTGATAGCTAACACAAGTGCAGAGGTACGCATGAGACTTTTCAACCTTTGCTAAGGTTGGTGTTTACTCCACTTGTGTCAGTGTTGTAATTACTCATCAACATGAATAAGGATAATACTGCCCAGCCCAGATGCTTGGTACACAGGGTAATATGAGACCTATGTGGAAAAGCCAGCAGTAGCCTGCTGATTTCAGCACCTCTGCAGATCAAATAGGCAAAAGACCAATGGCATTAAAACATCAAATCATCTCCTGGGGGTAAAATCTAGTTGTGAAAAGAAGCGTAAAAATGAGAGAGCAGGAGAAAAACAAAAAAAGAGAACTACCTTAAGCATCACCCAAAATTGCAGATCCCATGTAGGGAATCAAAATTCTGTCTGTGCAGTCTTTTCTCTGTGACATTTGTAGTTCCATTGGGTGGAGGAGCTGGTCCCACATACCACTTCTTGCTGTCCAGCATCCAGATGTCAGTACAGATGTCAGTGAACTAGAATGCTTGGATTGAACACGAGGAAATAGGGGTGCAGGGAGGCTACCTGTGAATCAGAGTCTCTAGTTCTGACCTAGGAAAATCATTAGCCAGGTCTTTGAAGGAAACATACTCTAATGCACGGTAGGAATACGTAATATTTTATGATGCTGATGGATTGATTCACTTTCCAAACAAAAAAAAATCATATTATTGAGGACTGCAGAATTTCAAAATGGGCAAAAAATATTGTGAAAATGACTGTTAAATTCCAAGTGCTACAAGATGAAGAGTGGCTTAACCATGGAACTGTAGCACATGCATAAAGAGCCCTGTATCAGCTCCACCCTTCCAGCCACCTCTTTTGACCAATAGCTTGTCTCCACACAGACTACACTCCCAGGTGCTCTCTTGTCACTGAAAATGCTAGGGCAGGTACCAGGGTAGGAGGCAGTACTTTTTGATCTTGGGTCATCTAAGAGAGGGAGAATCACATGAGGGCAGAGTCAGCCTCCCCATGCTATTTTCCCTGTCCTCAAGTGCAAAGGAAGGACATTTACAATATTACAGTAACAATTTCTTAAGGAGGCTTTTAAAACTCAGCCTGGTTTTTGTTCTATACAAGATTAAAACAAAGCAATATTATATTTGTGAAATAAATGCTACTTGTTCATCAGGAAAACCTTCTGCCATGCTGCATACACTTCTGGCTTTGCCTGAGCTGATGGAATGTATATGTTGAGATTTACCAAACCTGAGAGAATTTCTGACTGCAGAAAATCTCTTCTTATGCTTAAATAGCTGGTCAAGACTAAATAACACTTCTTAAGTTTTCTCAAGCTTCAGGAAGTTGCACGCTGCCTCTTTGCATTTTCTTTTATGTCTCATTTTCCATTTTTTTATGATTTCATAAATAGAGCTGTTTGGGGCTTGTTATGTTACACTGGTTAGAGGCTGGTGAGGAAAGGAATCCTTGAGCTGACTCTGTTCAGTTACTATACTGACACTGCTCGAGTACTCCTAAACCATACCCAGGTCTACACTCTACATCTTGATTTCTAAAGCCTAAACATTATGTGGACCTTTTTGCAGCCAAAAATATCTTGCATGATTTATACTTACACTAGAAAATCTCATTAATTTTATCCCAGAAAATCTTGGTTCACATACAGGGGCTGCACTGTGTAATTTCACAAAGAGAAAAGTGTTAATTAATGTAAATGACACATTGGGCACAAGAAGAAAATATTTAAAGAGAATTTCACAAGGTGGAGGATAATGTACTACTTAATTACAACTTGTCATCATTAAAAATGATTGCGGTCTTCCCGACACGCAGGCCTTTACTGACCATGGAGAAGCTTTGGATCAAGCTTTGTATGTTGCTGGGCCAATGGATTCTCTTCAGTGGTGGGAACAGGTTTCAGTACAATGAGCAGGTAGCCATTGCCCGTCAAAAGGCAGAGAGAGAGATCTTTTTTACACAATTTAAATTGATTGCCCTTTAAAACAATCAGTTTTGCAGAAGGCTTCAAGAGTTAGACTGGCTGCTGTCTGTGGCCCCTCCTACACGGTTGCTTGGGAGGTATGTAGGGATAAATTCTGTATTTTCTGACTTCTTATAATTCCTGTAACAGTGAATGGCAGCAGTGATTTCTGAAGCTTGAACACAGTTTCCCTTCACTGTCCTTCAAACTTGGACGTCCCTCGTGATAGACCTGGCATGCTGCATGGATGGCAGCTCTGCCCAGACAACAGGAGCTTCTGTCAGCTGCAAAGTCGTGGAAATTCATGAGAATCGAGCCCTCCTTTACAGCAATGAAGCCTACCAGGCACTGGCTGCCATCACAATTAAGGAGTACTATAGCAAAGAGATATGTCCAAGGAGTGCATTCATGACTTGGTGCTCTGGAGACTCCTAAATAAATCAAAGTTCAGCAGGAGACAATCAGTCAGGGAGCAATTCCTCTGCCTGCTTTCTATAGGGATGCCTGTTCTTCTGGAGCTCGGGAGCACTGTTGATGTGCCAGCTGTTCAGCTTGGCTTTGTTCATTTGCTTTTTCAACAACTTAATTTTGAAGGTCCTTAAAATATTACAGGGTAACCTATTCTATAGATTAGCATGGAGAGTTAATGAATACAAAGATACGCAGATATGCACACTTACTGTGCAGTCACAAGCTTGTATTCACTTCAGAGATGCTGGAGCATGTTACAATTTCTTAGCATTTTGTTCAAATATTATAGTTTTAATAACTCTTTGATCACCATTCTGTGATCACACAGACAACCAAGTCTATCCTGAATGCTGCTCCTTAGATTTTAATGATACTGCAACAAAACTAATCTTGATCGTAGGCCTTCAAAACAAAAACTGAATGTCTCACCTATAGGAACAGCAAAGAAATTAAAATCAACTGGTTGTTCTTACCAGTCACTGCTGCCTTTACAACTTGGTTACATTCCAGTTTGAATTATTTTTCTACTGAAGGTAGCATATGTAATTATCATTTGCTAACAGCACCTATCTAGTCTGAGACATGTAATGGATCTGCATTCTTGAGGCCTGACGAATGGTTCTTTAATTACAGCCACAAGTAAATCCTAGCTGTGTCCTTTGACCTGCTGCCTTTCTGCTTTAGGAATGCCCCACATCTGTGCTTGTTGTCGAGGTCTCTTCCATTCCAGCCAGTGTTGTCCCTGAAGGCTCACACCCAGAAAAACACTTGGTGATTCACCACTGCAGCTTGAAAAGGCTGAATTACCCGCTCAGTGATTCCAGAAGTCATGAGTGTGCTGCTGTTTCATCATGTGCTTTGCTGTGAATTGTAGGCAACTTCCTTTTCTCAGTTGTTTAACTCTGACGGGCCAGCTGTCATTTAATTGATTCTCCATTACTTGTTATTTACACATCCTCTAGAGATACTTGGCTCTGGGTTCATCACATGTTTTGCTGTGGGGTGTGTGTGTGTTTTAATGACTTGCTGGCCAAATTTCTCCTTAGAGTGAATCACACTGCTCTGCCAAATCTTTCCTCCAGCACTCTCAGACAATACAAATTATTAACTCTAGTCACTAATGATGACAACGTGATAAAAAAGCCAGGAGGAGCCTCAAAAGCATAGTGAAAGATCCTACCTCTGAGAAATATGCAGGTCTAGTGTCTCTTCAGTTTTTGGTGCTGATCTCCATCTACAGAACGCATCGGCTGTTCCCTGTTCCTTGTAGCCTCTTGCTGAAGATGATGACCCACAGAGACTCCATGAGGATTATCTATGTGAAATATTTGACTGCTCCTAGCACAGCATCAATTCCCTAAATAAACACAAAGGTAGATTTTCAGATGAGCTCAGCCTTTATGTAGACACTAAATGAAAGGTTTCAAAATAATTTTGCATATAGTGCACGGCAATCTTAGAAAAACCACTGCTTGACAGCTGCTGTCAAGTACTTTGGAGGAAGCAGGAGTTATTGTACAAAACAGAAAACTATATAATTTATATTTTAATTAGATTTACATCTGGAAGAATAGTTGAACAGTTTCTTAGGAAAGAGTCAACATTTTTCTTCTGAAAAGCAGCTAGCAAGGTCACACAACTCTACAGTCTCCAACAAATGTCGAATGTCACCCTGATGACTTCCATACCTTTAATCAACCCTCACCGCTGTATCTGCATGCATCTGTTTCAAACTATTTTTTTGCATAATTACAAACTAATTTTGAAAGAGATCTTCAATGAGTTTCACAACTACTACAACCTCTGCACATGTTAGTATCACAGAAACACTCTGAGTAGCAAATTACATAATTAGATCCAAAGAGGAGCAACATTCAGGATGTCTGATAAGGTATTTCTTGTTCACGGGTCAGTACAGGAAATTCAGTGTCAGACACATCCAGGGAAGATGGATGGTATCCTGTGATTTACAGACCGCTATTCTATATAAAACAGTGCATTTCCCTTTCCTACCCTTCTCCACTTGTCAGAATTATATTTCTTGCCTAGGAGAAAAGGGGAGATGGAATTATTTTTTGAACAATATCACATTAAGCTTAATTTCATTGCCTTGGGGTAAATATACCAGTGGGATCAGGACCTAACTGTTATCACTGCTGGAGAGATGGTTAACCATACTATGGAGACAGTAAGTACAGATGGATATGGTCTGAGGCAACTTCTTTATTTTATACAGTTTATTTTACTATCCTCTGAAAAGCCAAGGATATACATTCCTTTGTACTTTGCGTGATGGGCTGCCTCACTGCTTCCTCCTAAATTATTGGGCAGAAGTGAGGGCTATTGAACTGAAGTAGTTCCTATTCTTTCATTAGGAGAGTTGCGAAATCATCTTGGATCCAGCAGCAAATTCCCTTTGCAGCCCCACTAATGCTTTTAATGTAAATTATTAAAACCCAGACATGGGCATTAATATATAACATTTTATACAGCTTTGATTTGCTGAACTCTTCCGCTCTGTATCCTGAGCTGCTCACAGAGATTGAATTTCCTGAAAATCAGCTCCTAAATCAGAACTTTTATCTTGCCACAATATATCACGGCTAGAAAGAGCATTGGCCTCTTTCACGATTCAGAGAATCCCATGTCAGGCCACCTGCCTGAACCTCAAATCAAAGCAAATCAAAGTAGTGTAAGCTGCTTGGTTTTCTGAAGATGTGCCACCAAGATTGCCCCTTGTGTTATATGTGAAAGAAACATTACATTTTTTTCTAAAATAATTCTTGCTAGGCTGGTGTCACTCATTCTATCCAATAGCTTGGCTAGAATTCATCCATTTATCTTTAGAAGCAGATTATAATAAATTATTGATACGTTAAGAAATTGCAGCATACACCTTAAGAGCCAGATTTCCTTTTCAGAAGAATCTAGTATGCATTTTGATTAGCAGTGTAAGACTGAGTAGCACACACAGACTGGTAGTTGGCACACAGATACTTAAGATACCAAAATAAGGCTATCTTAAGCCCAGAGAAGAACTGTACTGTTTCCTGAACTAAGCACAGGAAACATCTCAGCTCTTTTCAGAATTGCATGTCCAAGCCAACATGAATTTATTTGAATTAAGGTATACCAATGAGCATATTTTTGGGGGGTGAAATGACCTTCTCTTGACTTTTTATCTTCTAGCTGTATTTTCAGACTTCCTCAGTTTGTACTCTGCACATACAAAGTTTTGGAGTATTATTTTCCTGTGATTAAGTAGAGTGCAGCTTACAGTCCAAGCACTACAGATAGACCTATAAAAAGTCTGAAAAAAATCAGCAGTACAGAAGTCCAGCTGGAAAGGGGAGACAGAGTTGCAGGGAAAACAGCTGTGCTTGATCTTGAGATGGACGGTCAGGAGGGATAGAATTTCCAGCTTGGATTAAAGGACACAAAAGTAATTTTGGATAGAAGCTTCATCACATGTTTCTGAGCACTGTAGTCCATTTATGTAGATGCTGACAACATCAGTATACCAGATAATAGATTCCGATAAAGCCATATGGAAGACAGAACCAGTTTCCGGACTTTTGTTTTTTGTGTGTGTGTGTGGTGTGCTCTTAACATGTTTAATGTTCTATTTGGCTTAGATTTTCAGCTATTGATGTTTTAAATCAGATTTATGAGCTGGATCTGACTTATTTAAGACCGGTCTTTTCCATTTGCTTCACATTACTCACTTCAGGGAAAGAGCAGCTATATGGGGCTTCAGACCATTTGTTTCGGGGTCATCCTTTACTGACATGAGGTCTATTTAGACAGAGGCTTTTTGACACAAATATTGCGTAAAGCACAAATATAGCACAGCACCCTTCGTGACTGTGCGCTCAGGGACGGGACTGGATGCTGCTACTTAACAAAACCAGGAAACAGGCAAAAGCATCTTGGAAAAAAAAAAAAAAGGCAGAGGATAAAGAAATAGCCTTGTATGGGCAGGGCCAAGAATGCAAACAACCCAACAACTCCTCATCTGTTCAGTTAATACTGCAACACGTTTTCTTCTTACGAGTCTCTCAGACCTCAAATCCCTCAAAGAGCCCAGAGGAGTGGCACAGCTCACTCCCCACAGCTTCTGCAGATGCAAACAAGCCCTCTCTCTTTCTCCCCTGGCACGAGCCCTCCAGTGGTCCCTACAAGGTCGCCACAGCACTGTGAGCCCTGGACAGGCTTCCTCCGTCTGCTGCGCCAGCAGTGGGACTGCCCTGCTCCACACAGCTGCAGAGCAGGAGAGAAGCCGGCTCTGTACTTAACCGCAGGAACATCCATGGAACTTGTTCTCAGTGGATCAATCACAGACAGATGAAGTTGTGTTCACTCGCACACAAGCAGCATTTATTCAGCCCTCGGCACACAGTACCTCTTACAGGCACCCGTCTCACAGCTTCCTTCAAGCAGGAGGGAAAACAGCCACAGAAGCCAAGGCCTTCTGGGTTTCACTTTGACTCATGATTTGGCCTTACTTATTCACATCACCTTCTCCACTTTTAGTTCCCTCATGAAGAAAAGCACACAAAGCTGGATTTGACTCGGCCAGAGAGCTCTCCCAAAGGAAATAAACTGGAGACTGCTGTGCATAGCAGCAGCAACTCTCCCTACAGGACAGCATCCACAGCAGAGGTGGCGCAAAGTCCAGAGCCAGGCTGTGACCAGCAGTAAACCGTTACTAATATAGAACCTCTGGAAATGATTTTCCTGGTATCAATAGCACAGCTCCCCAGAGCTGCCACTAAGTAGAAGTGAAGCTGTGGTGCGATCCTGCCAGCTCAGAAGGGCAGCCAGTTGTCTGCTATGGGAGGAGAGGGTGGCAGAAAGGGCAGCAGGAAGGACAGGCCCACCTCTGCCCTGCCCGAGAACCACCTGAAGAAAGGGAAGTTCTCTGCCTCAGAAAATACCCCAAAAAGGGGCCGTGTGGATATCCATGGTCACACCAACAAACCTACAGCATGAGAGACAGAGAAGTTCTATCCAAGTACCCAAACCAAAGCAGAGTGAAGATGTGGATCAGTGTGTGGTGAAGAATTCCTCCCTGCAAAGTCTCAGAATAAAAGTTAGAGTCTATAATCTTCAGCAAGGAGCTTTTGAAGAGAACTAAACCAGTTTAATAGGTAGTTTTGAGGAGGCAATACTCCACACGTATATAACATATGCATATAGAAGTACAACAGCACAGTATTACCACTGTAACAACTATAAACAAACAGTTATTTTCCTTTCTAGTTTCTAGATTTTTAAATTCAGATACGATGACATTTCCCCCTCAGCCACAAAAAACAAGGCTAGAGGTTGTCATTTATCATTTGGCAGCAGGAGCTGAAGCTTAGCAGAGCAACTCAATAGCTTTTGACAAAAGCATGAAAGCTGGCAGCATAAGAAGCTGCCAACACGGGCCCTTGCCAATATTAACAGATAGAGAGATGGGAAAATATTTCAAAGCACCAGTGAAGGAACCTAAATGCTCTTTAACTAAGGAGTGCTCTTCTACATCTATTTAGCCTTACTGAAGATAAGACAGGGAACCAAGCAGTTCTGGCCAGCACAGCCGTTCTGTGCAGAGCTTGAATGCTGGCTGAGTGTAATTGCTGCCATTCTCAGAGGGACTCAGTAAGGGACAAGTGCCCAGCAAGGGTAGAAATCAGGAGGAAGTCTGACACGTGTGACCTACGCATCCCATCCTTTCAGGGCATCATTTATAGGCAGGTCTAATTACATGCTTTCACCCACAAGACAGAGAGCTGTGCTGGGGACTTGCTTTGGGGAGGCAAGTGCAGTGGGGTTGGGCGAAGAACACAATATCTAACTCTGTTTTTCATCTCTAGGAGAGGTCAGAAGAAATGCCAGCCCAATAAGTAGCACATCAGCTTTAAAAGGCCTACCTCAACTCCCTGCTCCAACGCTGCCCTAAGTCAAATGCTTCACAGGAACTCAGCAGGTGAATTTCAGCAAATGCCTCCAACAGAGTAACATCCTCACAGCAACATCTAAATATTCCAAAGCAACTGCAGCTCTGGGAATCAAAATGGGGAGGCAGCTCTTATAGAGTAGCATAGAGTCCTTTATGAGGTCTGAGGAGCTTTTCTCCTGCTTAGGGATGTGGCAGCACCTCAGGTCCTGACCCAGCCCTGGAACATACTACAATCTGTGGGCAGAGAACATTTTTTCCTTCAGTTTCCCCAAGGACTTTTTTTGCAGAATAAATAATTTGATCTAAGGTAACATTTCAGATCTCACATTTTGGTGAAGAAAAGCCAAAGCATGCTGATTAAAAGTCTCATTAAAAGATTTTGTGATGACTAATATGTCACATGGAGAGAT